TTATGATGATTTACAGAACAAAATATCAACAATGAAAGTAGAAGTAGATGGATTAAGGAATGCATTAGAATTAATACACAGTGACTATTCAGAAGTAAAAATAAAGTTTAATGAATTAACAGATAAAGTATGTAATTCTGAGTTGATAGAACATAATTTGAAAGAAGAAGTTGATTTATTAGAAAAACAAATTGTAAGCAATCCAGAGAATCTTTATGAGGTGGTAGAAGAATTACGAAGTTTAGTTGATAAGGAAATTCAAAATATAAGACTGTTAAATTTGTCAATTATGAATGGACATGTAAAACAAAAATCCTTAAGTGAGACAAGTGAGATATTAAAGAATATTCATAACTTGTGTGTGTCTATTAATGAATTAAATATTGGAATTTCAAAGACTGAAAACATCATTTTAAATAACGAATCTCAAATTAAAAGAATTAACAGTTTCATCAAAAGTAAAAATATTAAGCTTAATCACATCAACAAACAAATTTCATTAGTTGAGAGTAAAATAGAAAGTTTAACAGAAAAAGACAAGAGTGTATCAAAAATACTTTTAGAGAAAATAGAGAATGTAAAAAAAGAATATGATGAATTATGTGAAAATAAAAAGAAGACAGGTGTTGAGTTGAATGAAAATAATAAAAAAATCCACTCTCTTCTTCTAGAGAAATCAAAGATAGAAAATGAATTTACTAGTGAATGTAATGAAATTTACGGTCTTTTAACAAATTTAATCACACAGGTTGAAATTATGAAATTTAAATAAAAATATTTTAAAAAGTTTTAAGAATGATAAAAGATATTTATTTGGACTGTAAAGAGTATCATAAAAAGTTAACTGAAACAATTTTAAAAGAAAATTCTAAATTAATAAAGAATGAACACTATGAAGAAGTTAAAATAGACATAAATGTAGAAAAATCAGTTATTCCGTTTATAGAGTCAGATCCTCAAACTAATTTTATAACAATCTCTAATGTAAATTTATTTACTCAAGATGATCCCATTCTCAGATACATTCCTACCATTAAAAATAAAACACCCAAATCTATTAGTTGGTATGAAGGGACTATTATTGGTGAAAAACCATTTACTTGCAAAGAAATGATTGAAAAGTTATTTGTTGATTTTTGTATTCAAAATGACTTAGAAAAAGAGGCTATGAGTTTTTTAAATAAACAATATAAAAAGCCAGTTAAAATAAAAATGACTCAATTATTTTGTAATGTTTGTTTG